GAGAGAGAGAGAGAGAGAGAGAGAGAGAGAGAGAGAGAGAGAGAGAGAGAGAGAGAGAGAGAGAAGCTGTGCAGTGTGGGCTTCCATGTGTGAAGGTGCAGCACCAGGCCCTTGAAACTGGGGGGATCCCTGGGTCCCTTGGGACTTTGGTTGGGTGATATATCTCCAGGCCAATCTACGCATGCGTATATTGCCTGCATGATTATTTTTCTGTTAGAATGTTGTGACTATGTTATTTGTGCCGGGCTCATAGACCAAAATGCCACTTTGTACCACATACTCGCTAGTATGGTGTTGTTGAACCACCAGTACCTTTCCCATATTTTGGCCGCGGGAAAAAATAGAGGAAAAGCATTTCTAATGTTCTACTACTTTCTATTCAAAAAGATGAATTTAGGCGCTCCCCTAGTGGCCCATTCTGTCATCATTGTCACAGCTTGTTAACTGCCGCTACTTTCGGAGGTACTGGTGGTTTAACTGCAAGTACCCTCCTACACGCGAGATCTGTAGTCCTCTCCATTTGACCAGACACTCTACTACCATGTCTACGAAGGGATCCCTATCATGTTAGAGAGAGGTAAACAATGTAAGTCTGACCTGTAGAGACTTGGATGGCCTTGTCTCTGGGCATCCACTAAGGAAGTTAACAAAATTGCTCATAGCATTCAAATGGGGGGAAAAAACTACGAAGATGACCGACACACGCATAGAGTGGCCTGGAGTCATATCACCCAAACAAAATCCCAATGGACCTGGGGATCTCAAGACTAGGGCGCTGCAGGCCCTCAGTTTTTTTGGCGTACCCTGAATCGAACATGCTTTGTTTGCGGTTCAGTCACACCGGTGGCCGTCCCCTGTGTGTTGAAGGCTGAATTGGGGTCAGGAAAGCAATTAGCATTTCTGCTAGAGGAGCCCAAGTGACATGTTATTAATACTTATTATTTAATCATTATGAATTTAAAGAACAACGCATTAGTTTCATCACACGGATCCAATCAGCAGCTGCTATTGAGACGAGCTCAACAGTTTCAGCCAGGGTCATCGTTGATTCTTCAGTGGCGCTCATATGGACTCTTCAATCATGTGCAAGGAGTAATGCAATTTAAACCACCAGTACGTTTCCCCGCTGTGTTTTCAAAGATGCGGCTTGCATGCTGTCACATCCGTCGGGGCTTGGCCTCCCAGGGAAATTGGCTTGTGTGCCAGCCAACAGGAGGCCTGGGAGGAGAGGTGAGTCGAGCAGCTCAGGGAGCAACCCTCATCACGATGTCGACCAATAGACGCTAGAGTCCAATCGAGAGGTGAGTCGAGCGGCTCAGGGAGCAACCCTCATCACGATGGCGACCGCTTGACACTAGAGTCCAATCGACTCGGACATGCAGACGGGCGCCAGCCACCAGGAGGCCTGGGAGGAGAGGTAAGTCGAGCGGCTCAGGGAGCAACCCCCATCACGATGTCGACCGCTAGACACTCGAGTCCAATCGACTTGGACATGCGGACGTGATACACACAGAGTGAGAAACACACAATGCACGCCGAAGAGGTGGCCTCAGCCAGTTAGTTTTCTTTTTGGTGCGCAGGGTGTTTCCAGCCCAGGAGAAAAGTGCCTCGAAAGTACTGGTGGTTTAAACCGCCAGTACACGGCCCCAGCCTTGTGGAGAAATGTTTCATCTCCTATTCCAAAAATTCTGGAGGAGGAAGCCGGTAGGCCCAAGGAAAAAGGGCAAATAGACTGCAATCCGTGCATGTGGAAACACATACATGGACAAGACAAGATGCAAAATAGCAAAAAAAACAAGAAAAAATGGCGGGCAGCAAAAAAAAAAAAAAAAAAAAAAAAAAANGGAAACACATACATGGACAAGACAAGATGCAAAAAAGCAAAAAAAAAAAAAAAAAATGGCGGGCAGCAAAAAAAAAAAAAAAAAAAAAAAAAAAGCTCAAACCTATTGAAACAGGCGCCTGCTTCTTTTTCAGAGACATTTCTCCAGAAATTTTATGCAGGCACCTGTTTCAAAGGCGACCTCCTCTGTTTCTCTCCCTTTCAGAGTTACCTTTTTTCCTCCTTCTTTCGTTTTTTTTGTTTTTCGCGGATACCACTTAGGGAGGTGATAAGAGCAGCCTCCCTAAGTGAGTCCCCGGTTGAAGGCATTTTTTCTCTTTCTTTCCTTGCATTTGCACCCATTTTTTTGGGAAAGGTACGAATGCAGTTTGAGAAGCAACTGCCGTGCCTCGTTGGCAGGGCTTACAACAAAAAGAAAAGAAAAGAATAAAAAACTACATACCTTTCCCAGTGGTGCTGGCAGCACAGTTGAAAAAAATTGTCTGCATCTGGCTCTACTCCAGCGCCAGAGACAGTCGCCAGTATGCAAGGAAATCTCTTTCGGTTGTAATAGCCTAATAGGTTTTTTCTTTTTTTCTCAATATCTTATATTCCAAATCAAATCAATGAACGAGGCCGGGGATCCTCACAATTCAACCCGGATCCTCACAATTCAACCCGGACTTATCCCGGCAGCATCAGCCGGTTTAGCTTATCAACTGAAGGCTCAAAATTTTCATTTGATGTGTCATCGCACCCGAAGATAGCGCCCACTATTCCACTCCCAGCTATTTTAGCTACTAATTGAAATACCAGCCCATTCCTCCCTTTGCTTTCCAAAAAGAAATGATCCAACTCACAAAAATTCCTGGGCAAAAAGTACTACTCAAATCCTACCAACAATAACCCCCTAACCTCCATCAGGGCTACCCTTGCACCCTTGGATCATTTTTGTGAGGCGATCACAATGAGAACAACTCAAGTTTGCTCTTCACCGGCTCTCTCTTACCACCCAACCAGTAGTGTTCCTACTGCCCCTTGTTACACTCAAGATGTGTATAAGAGACAGGGCTGG